GGCGTCCTGGTGGATGGGGCACTGGGTGAGACGAGAGGTGGGTTATGGCGGTGGTGATATGGTCCGTGTGCTGAATATCCAAAATCCTGGTAGAGGTCAGAATCCAAGGAGGTCGAAAGGAATCCTGAGGAAGGGTAAATCCAATATAAGAGCAAAAACACTACGAAATAACATTAATCCTAAGAACACTAGAGATCACACGAGTGGCTGGTTACTACCAAAACTGAGGCAATCTTCCGGCGTCGAAGTGTGTCCACCATCCACCTTAAATAGGAAGGCACCCCGCTGATTGCTGATCAGGAACAGCTGGGCCACTCCCTCTCCTGGCAAGAGACTCACAGATGGTTATGAGAACAGGAGTACTCACCTCGGCTCATGACACTATCCTCTTGAATTGGAAAAACAGAGAAACTCTCTGCATTAACCAGTATAGAAATCTTTTGTTAGATCATATTGCATTTGATATAGCCTCTGCTTCCACTTCAGATGAATCTCTCTGGGCTCCTTTGATCGGTTCCATCACATAGCGAGGGTGGGGGGCCATTGATGTTGTCCTACGGGATGGTGTAGGTGGGGGGGTGTGGGGTCTGAGTTTGGAGTATCCGGATGTTCCCTGGAGGTGGGTTCACTGGGGGTGTCTGGGACTGGGGGGCCGTTGCCCCCCTCTGGAGGTGCTTGGGTTGCCTCGGGGGGTGGACTACTGGCAGTTGTGAGTGGGGCCCCTTGGGGGGCTTGGCGGCGGCCATGGGTCACTGCCTGGCGGCTGCAATGCCCCTGGGCGGGTCTGGGTGGGGGCCTGGGGGCTCGGGGTTTGGGGGTGGCCGGCCCCGGGTGGGGATCTGGGCGGGGCCTTGGGGGTCGGGTCCTGACATGTATGCTGCCGGGAAGAAGGCAGGAACACGCAGCAGTGCCTGGCCCGGGTTCAGGGGCCTCAGGTAGACCTTGGCTCCTCTGCCGTTCCATCACAGGGGAGAGGGGAGGTTCAGGAGGGGGAGGACCCAACCTTACCTGGATGTCCCATGTCTTATATATTCTGGAAGTTGTGCAAATGCAGGGATGGGCATAGATATTCTGCTGGGGTGGGGCTGGGTTGGTTTCCCTCAGACTCCGTGGGGCTCTGTAATGCTGCTGCTTTGGACCCTGGCAGGGTGGGCTGGGGTCTCCATGCCCTGGGTGGCAGTTTGTCAACAGAGGTGCCTATTGGGGCCAGTAGGGGAGCTGGCTCCCTGGAGGGCTAAGCCCAGCCAGCCATTCCTCCCCATTCCCGCATATTTCTCTCCTCCTTCTCCCTCACATCATCACACAAGCATACACATAGGACCTTGGGGGGTGGGCAAGTCAGGGAGTGCGGGTATGGACCCCATTTCCGCATTCCTGTGGCAACCTAACCCCCAATTTTATTTGCACCTTATACACTTCCACTGACGACATTCCACACAAACACACACTTAGGGCCTTGGGAGTGAGCACATTCAACAGCATTTGGCAGGGGGATATTTCAGCCTCCTCCCGGGTGCCGGTGCCCACTTCCAATTTTAAACCGCACTTAGACACTGATGGCTGAGAGTGTAAGTGGGGTGGTGCGGTGGCACCAGCTGGCATAGGCCGGATGATGCCCGCACTGCCCACTCACCACAGCCATGGAATACACCTCATGATCACACAACACTATATTGGAGCAGGCTGAGGGAGACTAGGGGTCTTAGCCACCTCTGTTGTTGCTAGGCCTCCTGGGGCTGGAGGCTAGGAGGGAGATCTGGCCGTCTGGTTGGGGTTTGGGGTGGTGGGTTGCTGTGCTCTGCGTTGGGCGGGGGAGCCTGCTCATCAGCACCCCAGCAGAAAGGGTCAAACTCTGGTTACCGGTGATGGTTGTACCCAGTGTGCAGCAGTACCGGGACCAGAGTGAATAGGGTGTGTATGGGGAGCATGAGTGGGTGTCCGGCATGCATTTTTGTAAGTCTTGGGTTGTATGTGCATGTGTGAGCATGAGGGAGGGAGTGTGTGACTGTGTTTGTGTATGATTGTATATGTCAGGTGGGGCCTTTGACTCCTCCCCTCTCCTGGAACCTCTCTTTATGATATAGAGCTTTGTCCCCCCTCCCCCAGCCACACCTGGTGTGAGGGGTTGTGCCATGGTCTGCCTGAGTGTTCGTGGCAACCGGGTCTGGGGGTTTAAGATTCAGGCATCTGCCTGATAGATCCCGGTGGCTGCCTGGTGGGGTCTGGGTCCCTGGGCTCTGCTTGGTCCCCGGCGGGGGTGGTCACCCCTGGGTCCCGGGCTTGGCCGGCTAGGGGGTGGGAGGCTGCGGGCGGGCCTGTGGGCTTGCCGCTGATATCTCCCGGGACTCTGCCGGCTGCTGGTTGTGGCCCCCCGGGGCGATCCTCTGTGCCTCTCGGGGGAAATGGGGGTGGGGGTGTGGGGGGGGCCTTCCTGGTTGCAGTCTCCTTGGGGTTCCTGTGTTCTGGGGCAACGCCTGGATCTCTGGGACTTGGAGCTCCCCCCGTCTCCTGCGCATCTTTTGGGAGCGGATCTGTGGTCCCTCACACTCTCTGTTGGATGCTCCTATAGAGAAATCTTACATAAACAAGCGCGTGTACACACACAGGTGCTCACATGGTGCTCTCAAAAGTATGGGCTTGGGAACATTAAACACAGGTCTTAAGACTATGGTGGGCACTTAATGCACTGTGATTTATTATCGTGATTCTTCAGTTAAGCAATGTTGATTATATATTTTCTTCATCAAGTTGACGCAGTGATAGCTAGATCTTGTTGTATTGTTGTTGTGTCCCTTTTTTTGTTTTTCTTCTCTCTTTCTGCAGGTCTAGAAGCAGACTCTTGTTCATTGTTTATTTTTGTGGAACCCCCCCCCCCCCCCTCTCTCCCCACCTTTTCTTTTCCTTTCTCTTTCACCTCTGTCTCTGTGTCTGGTCGGAATTACAAAGCATTCAACAACACTAACAATAAAGTTTTAAGTATCAGGCGTGACATTAAAAGCAAACGCTTTGATGCTCCACCTGAGAGTAAATCTGTAAGGCTTGTCACCAGCATTCAGACAACAATTCTGCTTGCTTCACAGCCAGACAGGACATGGTAAAAAAAATAAAAATAAAATAAAAAAATAAAAATAATAATAATAATAATTTTGTCATTTCACGCCATAAATAAATGGCTAAATGATCATTTGTTTCCCATGTTTTCATATCACAAAGAATATGCATCTTTTTAAACCAACTTCAAGTCAAATAGTAAAAAAAAAAATCCTTTCACACACAAAAAAGAGCAAAAAAAAAATCACCACGCTGGGAAGGGTGGCCTGGAGCGGCCGGCCCTGCCCGCGAGGTGTCCCTTATTTATTTTTCAGTGAGTTGGCAAACCTACCCGTACGTGACTTCAGGCACATCCCTGAATACACCTTTTTCCCTCGAGGCTTGGTCGCAGCACACCCTACTGGCCAGTTGTGACCTCTGCAGCCGTCTCCAAGTTTAGGTCCTCTACCACCTCTCTTACCCATGGTGTCCCACAAGGTTCTGTACTGGGGCCTCTGCTCTTCCTCCTCTATCTGCTTCCTCTTCAGCACATCCTGAGCTCCTTCAAGGGAATCTCCTACCATCTTTATGCAGATGACATCCAACTGTACATCTCCTTTAAGCCCCATGAGATGTCTAAGCTGCAGCTGTTACACACCTGCTTAGACTCTATCAAAACCTGGATGGTGGGAGCTTTCTTCAGCTGAATGAAGATAAGACTGAGATCCTCATCTGTGCCCCAGACAAGCTGGTTCCCAAAGTCAGAGACTCTCTTGGTCAGGTTGCTTCTCACACTAAACCTTCCGTTGGGAATCTTGGCGTGACCTTTGACCCAGCTCTCACCCTGGATTCTCATGTCAGTTCTCTTGTTCGCTCTTCCTTCTTCCATCTCAGGAACGTTGCTAAGCTGAGTCCCATTCTGTCCCGCTCTGAACTTGAGACAGTTCTCCACACCTTCATCTCCTCACGCTTAGACTACTGTAACTCTCTTTTCACGTGTCTGAGCAGAACCTCCCTGAACCGTCTACAGGTGGTTCAGAACGCCTGTGCTCGGCTTCTGACCAAGTCCTCCAAACACACCCACATCACCCCGCTTCTCCTCCAGCTTCACTGGCTGCCAGTCAACTTCAGGGTTTATTTCAAGATCCTGGTTCTGGTCTATAGGGCGTTACATGGACAAGCACCATCTTACTTTGGTGATCTTCTTAGTCCCTACACCCCCAGCAGGTCCCTGAGGTCCAGTGACCAAAGCCTACTGGTTGTGCAGCACCAGGATAAAGGTCAAAGGTGACAGATCATCTGCTGCTGTGGCCCCCAGACTCTGGACCTCTCTCCCCCTGAGCCTGAGATCAGTGGACTCAGTGGTCTCCTTTAAAAAGCAGCTGAAGACTCACTTGTTCAAGCTGGCTTTTGTATGACCTTCTTCACCTCTCTCTCTTTATTCTGCTCTCCCCACCTATTCCACCTTCCTCAGGATCCACTGATTTCCCTCTTTCCTATTCACTCTCTCTTTAACATTTTTTAATCACAATTGCCTATTTTTGCCAATTTTATATTTTTCAACATTTTCGAAATGTTTTTTTATATTTTTTGTTTTTTTTGAAGCACCTTGTAATTTTTATCTTGAGAGGCACTATAGAAATGATACTTTCTTCTTCTTATTCAGAGGAACAACAGACTCTGATTAAACTGCAGCAAACCAAGGCCAGACTCGAGATCCGCCTCCTAAAGGCTACGCTCAGACAAGCTGGTCTCTCCACATCAGATGAGGAAGTCTGAAATTATTGTGCAGTTGCAAAATTGTTACACCAGCTTCCAGCACTCACCTGGAAGGTATCTCAGAACAGCGGTTTGGTTTTTGGGGTGAAACTATGTGCTCCAAATACCACAGAAGTCAACTCTACTGGCTGTTTGTATCAACTTCTCCGACCGCTGGATCACCGGCAGCCTTCACCACAAGGACTCGTAGATTCTGCACAACTGGCGTGGGATGGTTTTTTAATAGAGATTGTTAAACCATACATTCAGACGTATTTTACAACCCAGACATCACAATTTTCTAAGACACTTGGTTTTGCTACATAACATCTAAGTACACATTCCATCATTTCACTCATTGTCCCAGTTATCTTGTTTCAACCATAATTTATCATCATTTGTTCCGTGTCATCATTAGTAAATGGTAAATGGCCTGTATTTGATATAGCGCCTCCTAGAGCCCTGGAAACCCCCAAGGCGCTTTACAACACAATCAGTCATTGACCAATTCACACGCAGGTGGGGATGAGCTACGATGTAGCCACAGCTGCCCTGGGGCGCACTGACAGAGGCGAGGCTGCCGAGCACTGGTGCCACCGGTCCCTCCGAACACCACCAGCAGGCAAGGTGGGTTGAGTGTCTTGCCCAAGGACCCAACGACAGCGACAGACTGAGAGGGGGCTCGAACCTGCAACCTTTCGATTATGGGGTGATTACTTTACTCCTGTGCCACCGTCGCCAACACAGTAGTAGAAATGTAGTATTTAGTTTGTTTTTAGAAACTTTATTTTTCATTCGGTCTCAAAATATTACAAAGGTGAGATTTCCCCAAACTACCAAAATGACCTGGTTTCATTTTAGATAAATTTTCAAAAGATCAATAACATTGATATTTCATATTTATATGGAATATCACATCTTACTGATCATTTATTAAAAGTAACCACTTACATCAAGTAACACAACCAAAAGGCTTCTGTCCAGGGTGGACACTCGTGTGATTGTTTAAATCTCTCTTTCGGTTAAATCCTTTTCCACACAGCTCACAGGCTAAAGGCTTCTGTCCTGTGTGGGCACTCATATGACTGTTTAAACTTGTCTTATAACGAAATCTTTGTCCACACAGCTCACAGGCAAAAGGCTTCTGTGCTGTGTGGACTCTTGTGTGTCTGTTTAAATCTGTCTTTCGGGTAAATCCTTTTCCACACAGCCCACAGGCAAAAGGCTTCTGTCCTGTGTGGACACTCATATGACTGTTTAAACTTGTCTTATGACTAAATCTTTGTCCACAGAGCTCACATATAAAAGGCTTATGTCCTGTGTGGACTCTAGTGTGTCTGTTTAAATCTTTCTTTCGGTTAAATCCTTTTCCACACAGCTCACATGCAAAAGGCTTCTGTCCTGTGTGGGCACTCATATGACTGTTTAAACTTGTCTTATAACGAAATCTTTGTCCACATAGCTCACAGGCAAAAGGCTTCTGTCCTGTGTGGACTCTCGTGTGTCCGTTTAAATCTGTCTTTCGGTTAAATCCTTTTCCACACAGCTCACAGGCAAAAGGCTTCTGTCCTGTGTGGACACTCATATGACTGTTTAAACTTGTCTTATGACTAAATCTTTGTCCACATAGCTCACAAACAAAAGGCTTCTGTCCTGTGTGGGCACTCATATGACTGTTTAAACTTGTCTTATAACGAAATCTTTGTCCACACAGCTCACAGGCAAAAGGCTTCTGTCCTGTGTGGATCCTCATGTGACTGTTTAAAATGGTCTTTCGGGTAAATCTTTGTCCACATAGCTCACAGGCTAAAGGTTTCTGTCCAGTGTGGACACTCATGTGAACGTTTAAACTCAGCTTATGATTAAATCTTTGTCCACACAGCTCACAGGCAAAAGGCTTTACTCCTGTGTGGACACTCATGTGACTTTTTAAACTTGTCTTACAAAGAAATCTTCGACAACACAGCTCACAGGCAAAAGGCTTCTGTCCTGTGTGGACACTCATATGACTGTTTAAACTTGTCTTATAACGAAATCTTTGTCCACACAGCTCACAGGCAAAAGGCTTCTGTCCTGTGTGGACTCTCGTGTGTCTGTTTAAAGTTGTCTTTCGGGTAAATCTTTGTCCACACAGCTCACAGGCAAAAGGTTTCTGTCCAGTGTGGACACTCATGTGACCGTTTAAACTCAGCTTATGATTAAATCGTTGTCCACACAGCTCACAGGCAAAAGGCTTTACTCCTGTGTGGACACTCATGTGACTGTTTAAACTTGATTTAACCATAAATTCTTTTCCACAGTGATCACATCTAAAGGTTTTAGTCTTTTTCTGGACTTCCCTACATGAGGCTGCAAGTTGCTTCACTATAACACATTCCTTACTAACACAACAGCCTGAAGACCTTGTTGCTAAATGACTTGTCATTTCTGCTGTCACATGGTCAGCTGAGCTGCTCGCTGGAACATCTCGGTCTTCTGTTTCCTGCTGATGAAGCTGTGAGACGAGAGGTTTTTCTTCATCATCCTCACTCTTTATAGAACCAGCAGTGAATAGAAATCTGGCAGCATCAGTCTCCTTCAAATGTAGCTGCTCTCTCTCCAGACTGTTCCAGAGGTCGTCCTGTTCCTCCTTTATGTGAAGGTGTTCTGGTTCCTGCTGGTCCTCACCAGCACTCTGTTCTTCATGAGCTTCTTCTTTAACCAGCGCCATTATTTTAACACCTGTTGGAAAAACAGAAACACAGTGAATTACTGAATGCTGTAACTTTCTATTCACACATTTAACAGTAATATTATTTCTTTAAAGAGCAAGCAACACCCAAACCAACTATTCTTTTGGCTGATGAACTGTATATTCACGCTGCGACTCAAAGGGACTACATCAGGGACTCGAAAAGGTTATAACCGCAGACCTGGCGCTAAATCACAGGTCCAGAAGTCCTATAACAACTCCAAGACATGAGGCTTTCCTACTAACAGGTCTCAGAGTGTTGCGAGAGACCGTAGCCCCCCACCAGCTGGTGAGGGGGACCCTCAGCCACCACGACTTGGTCGTGACAGACATTGTGTTTCTTTTAGAGAAAAGCGGGGTTCATCATACTCCTCTAGGAGAGAGTCGTCTTGCTCAGGCGAGCGCCAATATCCTTCTGACTGGTATTCACCGCGTTGTGGTCGCAGGGACTGTAGTCCTGCCCCAAGGCCAGGAGCTGATTCTAGGTGTGCCTCCAGGAGCAGTTTGCGCCGCACTGATCTGCACTTTGTGGCCTGATGAAAGATCCATCGACATGTGAGACGGTTCTGTCCATCTCTTTGGCAGAAAAGGGTTTACACCCTCCTCCACCTCCTGAACCTGCACGTGACTTGGTCACAGCAGCAGGTCCTGCAGAGGTGATGCATGCCACAACGACACATCCGATGACACCTGTGACCTCGGCGAGGTTTGGTGTGGTCGCTTCTGTTAGCGTTGAGCCTCCAGCATCCAAAGCACCTGCCACCAAACCCGGTGATCCTAGCTCACCGGTCAGACATCCACTAACGGTCATCTGTGATATTGTCCGTGAGGGTCCTAAAGGGGGTGCTTGACTGTGAGGGTATCTTGGACTCTGGTTCAGAACTCACCATCAAGTCCATGTGTACTGGCAAGATGATGAATGCCTTCGGCAACATCTCGGAAACCGGAGCCCGCTGGACTAGTACCCTGATGCAACACTCAGAAGCTGACGCCTCTCACATATTATTCCAGGCGCTTAAATTGACGGTTTCAAACAATGATCTTTTGGGTACCAACATTAGAGAGAAGCGTTTCCTGGACAGATTTTTCTCACTAGCTAATACAATTGGCTCCCTTTTAAAATTTTCGGATTCTCTTCAGTCAACTCGATCGAGATTAACACAGTTCATCGCCACGCTGATGAGCTTAACAGAGAATACCCGGCCCTGCATAAGCAGGTACTGCAACAACGGTGTGCTTTGAGACAGCTGGGCACGTCTGAACGCCAGACTATGGTGGTATTCAACACTCATAGCAACATTTTGCATAAAACAACTTCTGCTGTTCTTTCGTGAATGTTGATTATGCTCGTACACAGTTGCTGACCACTTGCCTGACTGACTATGGTCAGGACATGAGCGCCTCGGTTGACACCCTCCTCATGGGGAGAATCCCTCCGTACCTCGTGTCCCTGGCCATGGTCCGGTCTGCGATTGCTCGAGTAACAACAAAGGACCCGACTGCCCTTCCACTAACTTGGCTTTCTCATTGGGCAGTAGAGGTGTGAATCTTCACTTGTCTCCCTATTCGATTACAATTATTGGGTCAACGATTCAATTTGATTCGACATCCCAATGCATCACGATTATTTCATATTGATTTGTTTTCATCGATAAATGGAAAACATAATTGACACAACCTGCCGTCCCTCAAAAGCTCTCCATTCACAACAGGTTAGGATAAAACATTTAAGAAGATTTAACAAAGTAAAACATCTGTTTCCTGGTTCAACACCACGCCTCAGGCTGAGAAAAACACGCTTTGCAAAAACTCACAAAATCTAAAAAAGTTCTGAAAACCTACAGGACACAAAATGTAATAATAAAATCCATAATGGGTTCATATATGAGTGTTTAATGTCTCTGAGCAGCTCTAGAGTCAAATATTTATGCCACAGTTGAAGGGTGTCAGAAATAACACCAAATGAAATGTTTGACTTAGTTTGTTATTTTATTTGAACCCAGTGGTTCATTTCTGAAATGTTGGAGAATGAATCAAGTTCTGTTTGATGCAGAAAATAATAAAACATAAAACAAATTCTACACTCCAATAATATTTAAGATGTGTGTTTTATTCTTTCTGATAATAACACTAGCAGAAGGCTGTGGGCTGGATTAGGATTAAATTACCCAGCTGATAGATCTCTTTCACTAACCAGCTAACTACAAACCTTTCCACTAACCTGTCCATGTGACCCTCACCATGTAACCCTCATGTCCATGCTGTCTCTGGAGGAGCAGATAGGAGACAAGATGTCCTGTAACCTAAAATGGACCAAAGCTTCCTCCCAGTCTCTCTTTAAGCTGAATTTAACATCAGTTTATCATCATGACACAAAAGAATAAAGTGGAACAAGAACTTCTATCTTCTATTTCTCTCTCCTTTTAACTTCTCCGTGTCCCTAAATAAAAGAGACAGACGATCACGCTGCAGCCGCCATCATTGACCCCGCCCCCTCCCCAAGACCGGATCTCCCAGCATCACAACACTCGGTCTGACTGAGCGCTTCCAGGAGAAATAATAATTAAATTATGAAAATAATAATGCGTGTTTGGAGCATCGGTTTGGAGGAACGTCCTCCGATCCTCTCTCTCTCTCTCTCAGTTGCTGTGCGAGCGAGCGGAGCACGCCGCGTGACAACCCATATCACGGCCCAAATCCAACAGAACCGATTGGGCTGATTCGGTTCCGGTTCGGTCTCAGGTTACAACTCTAGCGCTCAGCCCTTCAGTACCACATTAAGGCGGAACCACATCACATTACAACATAACGTTTTTATTGAAAAAATATGCAGCTGCACCTGCTACTTCAGGGGTCGACCTTTAAAGCGCCCGAGTGCCAATGGCGCTAAATTTTCTCGTCGGGCGGTAAATACTTGACGACTTACCGCCCGGGTGGTGCCCAAGCCTTATTTGTCATTTACACACCGGCGTTCACCTTCATCATGGCCGCGCCCTGTAGGAAGCTGCCGTTTTCGTTTCGCGCGCGTGAACCTGCGCGCCTCTAGCCACGTACTGCACTTGTACGATTCGTGCACGTACTGCACGATTCTAGTTATTGTCACGTGAACTATCTGTTCACTATTAAAGACGAAGTGGAACCACGCTAGAAACACACAAGCACGCAGGGAGATGCCGCCGCCACAGGGATGGGATTTCTTGATGAAATCTCCGGCAAAACGCTTTAAAACTTGTGAGGAGAAGTGAGACAGTTCGAAACGGTATGAAGCAGAGAAGCGTGTGCGTAGGTGGAACGATTCTTGGCGGTTTAAAGAAGACGGGAGGCGCAGAGAATGGCCGTGTTCGAGTTGAGCAGTGCCTCGCCAGGAAAACAGACGAGAGCAGACGGAAGCAGCGGGGGGGGGGGCCTGAAAGCAAGCATTTAATGGGCTCGACACACGGGAGGCGACATCCTTAATTCCCTCCAACCTGACACGGCCAGGCAAAACAACGGAAGTTTCGATTTCACCATGGAACAGAACGCGTAGACGGCTTTACCGCTGGTGCGGGTCGCCTCCCGTGTGTCAGGTAAGAAAAGCGACAGTGACGAATTTCGCTGATCACGGTCGTTTGTCACCTCCCGTGTGTCGAGTCCTTAAGTCGGACAGATTTCCCTACATGTGTAGCTCACGGGTGACGATGGCTGAAGATATCGCGTTAGCGTTCACACTTGTTCAATTTTCAATTTTAATTCTGGTGCCTGTTAGCAGCTGAAACACATCCTCATGTGCTTGTGGATATCATATATTCTATATGAAGACATGACTGTAATAATAAGTAAAGGTTATCAGCTGTAGCTTCAGTGTGCTCATAGGAAACATGACAAAAGAACACAAAACACATTTCTCTTTATGGCCTATATTGTTGTCATCATCAACATAACATGATTTACAGAATACATGTGACCAACATTTCATGTTCTACCACCGGATGTTTGGATCAAAATATGAACCAATCAGATCTTAGATCAGGTGAGAGCCAGGCGTTTCCCGTCATCCTCTAGGTTTTGCAGCCGAGGGAGAGCAACTGCAGCGCCTTGCTCCAAAATCTGCGGCCGCCTTGATCTCACAAGGTTGTCGTTGCCTACGTACGCATGACGTCAGAGCAAGTCGGCGTCAAGTCGGACACAAATCTACCGGCATGCACTGCGAGCGGTGTTGATGCATGATTGCGCATGCGCCGTGAGTGGTTCTGGTACTTTTTGGGTCACAGCTGCTCGCAGCGCCGCTTCAACAGTGCGATATCCTCACGAGGGACGAGCAAAATTTCTAACATGCCAAAGTTTGAGCGAGCTCACGATTGCTGATCTGTAGCTGGTCACGTGGTGTTAATCGCCTCTCGTAACCCTCTATACACTACACGACGCTCGGCGCAAAACTCGCCCCGATCTCGTGGATTCTTGCACGAGTGGAAAATCGGCTCAAGTGAAAAAGTCGCACAGTGGACGCCTGGCTTAAGCTGCTCCAAGCTATTGCTCCTACAGTAGCCGCAGCATTCACACATGTGATCAACGCATCACTGACATTCGGTACATTTCCCACCTCTCTCAAGCATGCTCAGGTTAAACCGCCGCTAAAAAAAACCATCTCTTCCTCCGAATCATGTGGAGAACTACCGACCTATCTCTCTCCTCCCTTTTCTGTACAAAATCATTGAAAGGGCGGCTTTCAAGCAGATCACAGAATACCTCTCACAAAACTGTCTGCTTGACCCTTACCAATCTGGGTTCAAACAGGGCCACTCCAGTGAACTGCTTTGTTAGCAGTGACTGAATCCTTAAAAGAAGCTAGAGCAACTGCCAGATCCTCCGTGCTTATCCTGCTCAACTTATCGGCAGCATTTGACACTGTCAACCATGGCTTCCTTTTGTCCACACTCTCTAGCATGAGCATCACAGAGAAAGCACACGCCTGGTTTGAATCGTACATCACAGGACGATCATTCAGTGTATC